CTTGTAGTGGATGACACTTGATGTTTATACAGTTTTTTCAAATATTAGTTCATTAATTAAATCTAGTTTTTTAATTTTAAATTTATTCAGTGTTATTTCTGATGAAGTTAGACTTATCTGCAACAGATGGTGCCAGTAAGTTTTTCTAACAATGTAGGAATAGACTTTAAAAAATTATTTTTAATATTACTTGTTTTGTATATAGGTAAGACTTCTGTACAGAGCATGTGAACTATGATTATTGTACATAATTTAAAAATAAATTCAGTCATATTTTAATATATCAGAATAGAGAAATTTTAACAAAAAACACCGGTTATTATTTCAATTGATCGTAACTCTGACAATAATATGAATTTTTTAAAAATTCTAGTTCGGCCCACGGTATAGAAGTCTTACCTATACAATAGATGAAATATTATCATTATAAAAGAAATATTATTATAAAAGGGAGAATGTTTTGAAAATATGTCATTCTTTTTTTCATTTTTTGCCAAAAAATTGCATTTAAATAATTTTTCTAGTAATTATATTCTAAAAACAATTATATATATATATATGAGTGTATCATTTTTCTAGTAATTATATTCTAAAAACAATTATATATATATATATATGAGTGTATCTTCTAATTCAAATGACACTAAATATCAAATAAAATTATTTATTCATAGGCGTTTTCAAAATCAGGGTTTCGAACGCAGTCAGTCATCTTAAAATAATCATTACACCGGTAAACCAAAAATGAATGTAAATCGCGATTTTCACTTCTGAAGACCGAGTTGCCTTGCAAAATATTTCTGCAACAAATATTGAAAAAATTCGAAGACAATTTTTTCTCATACGCAAATTCATCTACAAATACATTTATGCACATTAAAATAAAACAGATAATAAAATAAAGCCTTTAATAAAAAATGTATTTCACTGAAAATAATACGAATTAAATGCTGAAAAACAATTGGACAACGAAAACAATTGTTGACAACAAAAGAATGCAAAACAATTCTGTCCAAAAATTCCGTTTCATTTTGTGTGTGAATACCTTTCCAACAGATATCTTAACAAAAGTACATACACCTAGATTTCCTTACATTCTTCAGGATGACTCACGCCGAAGATCCTGTCATATCGCGTGACGTTTTAAAAACGATAAAGAGAGTTGTCAAATTTCGTCAAGTTTGTCGCGGAAACTATGATTAATGCATTCCATAGTTCATAGTAACCTTCATGGGTTTAAATCTAGACTAAAGTACACAAACAATAAATAACTATAAAGAGGAGGAAAGAAGGTTCCTAGGATTTCAAATTTATTAGTACATGTACAGACAAAAAGTCGAGGAAGTTGCAATGTAAAAAATAAATCATAAATAACCATAACGATAAAGAAAACGATGTTGTTAATCTTTTCATATGTGATTTTCATTTTTTACAAACATTTTAGTAGTATTGCATTATGTTCTATTAAAGTTGAAATAAAATTTTACATAAAGTAATATCTAAGATAAAAAAAAAAATGTATAACTTACAGAAGAATATTTTCACATAGAATACTTTAATTATTTAAATTTCAAACATATCGCTATTTTCCGAATAATTTCTCATTCACAGTCTAAAATTAATATCTAATTTTAATTTTACAGCAACTTCTAAACATTTCAATTTTACTTCAAACTTAAAAAATTTAATACTTTCATCACTATTTACATGGGTCAAGATTTGATACGAAACATAAGGCATTAATTATACGTTGGCCTTTTTCAGAAACAGAATTAGGAATTTTTTTTTATAAGGTATAAATTTTATTTCAAATCCATTGATTTGTAAAATAGAGCAATAGTTTTAAATCTTTTAGTTCTTAAAAGGATACAAAACAATACCAATCTGCGGTCGGAAAGTTAGTAGTATCTTTTCTAAGGCCGAGCGTTGCAGTGGCGAAGTATGGGACCATGGCGCTGGGCGTATAATTTGCAATTTTTCACGTATTTTACCAATGTACTGGCAGTATAATAGATACAGTTGGATTCGTTTCCATTAATGCTTTCAGAGCATCATTTTTCGAGGATATTTTGGGTCTTCCACGCAGTTCAATTTGTAGGAGAAAAAAATTATCAGACTGAAATTTTTCAATGCTTCACAGTATTCTCCCCAAATGCGTGCAGGAACGTCTTAAGGCATCGGCCAACTGGGCCTCGACCACAATGAGGGTCTCACCTCGTTTTCGACTAGGCCTTGTGATATGGTCGATCTTTGTCGACCATATCTTTGGTTTTCAGCGTGACTTAGAGTTGTGGGGTTCTCGAAATGAATAGACATTTTAGAATTCTTAATATGACTTTATTAAGAGCTTAACTTAAATTTCTAATATATTGCACAAACTTATATTAAGTGAGAATAAACCAAAACACGTAGCCGTAGCTAAAACAAATCGCGCAACTTGGATCACTTATCTAAATAATTATATTATCCGCCTACTTTCAATCCTAATAATATTACGATTTCTTATATCAAATAATCTGTCCTACCTTGAATTCCACGCAACGGTTCAATCACCTTCAGGTAGGCTGTTGGGCGCGCGTGCAACAGTATGCACCTTGTAGTAATGGCTAGGAATCCTTGATTCTTTGGTAGACCGTCAAGTTACCCTTCTATCTTTCCCAAACAGAACTTTCTCTAAATTGCCATCCCGCTTACTAAAACTTCTGTTCTTTTAAATACTATCTTATTTGCATCTACACTGCATTTCACTTCTTGGATTTGGGTTGGAAAAGATTTGCCATTAATCTTGGCCGTCAAAGAACCCAGATGTTATGTTACAGAAAAGACGCGTGAGCCCGTCACAGCCTTAATAAGATCATGATTTGAATAATTTCAACGGCCAAATGTTTTTTTTCGGTTGTATTCTCCGAAAAACTGGGAATATCGGATAATTTGTCAACTGCTACATGTGATAACCGTCGTCCATGTATAGGCCTAGGCCTACTATCATACACTACCATTACTCATTTAGTCAAAAGGCGGCAGTCAGTCGAGCTGGTTTGTGCGATCGTAAGTCATGCACATTTATTTGTTTCGGGTTATTGTTTGTACGAGTACTTGACAACGTATGCTATGTACTGTCTACTTTTAAGGGTCATAGGAGGGGCCTACATTTGTGTAAGGACCAGTCTACTTTTGGATAGGGGCCCAAGGCCTCCCTGATTGCGTGCCGCTATTGTTGCATTAGAACCCAGTTTATACTCATAATAAAAAATTATACAAATATTGGTTGAATTCAAATCTTTACGAAATTCAAAACAAATAACAAAATGGAACACTTTTTAAGAAAACCTTTGTTGAAACGTGACTCTGATATTGGGCAACACGACTAATAAACGAGGTTATGCCAAAAACAAAAAGTATTGCGAAAACCGGAAGACAAACGTTCTCATGTAAAGAAAATTCAACACTACACACACATCCACCCTCTTCATGAAATAAATTTGGAGGAACAGAAACTATTGTTTTTTCCTCTTCAGACTTTATTTAATATTAATCCATTCAAATTAAAATATTTTTAAACATATTTTATCTTGTAAACATCCCACAAAAGCCGATATCCAAAACAAAAATAGTTATTTTCAGAGATTAAACTTCCAAGATAATTTGCATCAACTATTTTTTAACGATTACGCCCATTGGTGGCAAAAAAATGCCAGATACAACCCAAAGAATAAGATGAACGGTTCTTCAGCATGCGATTTCATTCACATGAAATCTAACGGAAGAGGTTGTACGTCTAAAATTTAAATGGAAATTAGAAAGGCTTGAGCAATAGAGCGGAACTACTATTTTATCGTGCTCTAGAAACTTGGTGGAGAAAAAAATAGCCAAAAAATAAGGTTGTTTATTTCAATTCTGAAATCGATGATGCAGGCGAATAACTGTGGATAAATTTTCTAAAATTCTAAAAAAATATTCTCTTATATGAGTTCTCAGTTTTCTCCATTTAATACGTTAAAGGTATCATTAAAATTTTACAATTACTACTTTCTTTAAAAATATATTTTGTTACTATAAGGGAAAAAACGTTTATTTAGAATTATCGTCACTTTAAAGTACATAAAAATTATTGGCAACTTACCTCGTAACTTTGAAATACGATCAAGTGACAAGAGGGAAAGATGCCATTAAACAATACCAAAACAATTCAATAAATTTGTGAATTATTTTTTTTTTTCAAAAAAAAAAGGCAATTATTATTATTATTTGAAACGGTTTTGTATATTTAATGCAAAATCTTACACAGGATCACAATTACTTCAATAATTTTTTCTACGTTAAAAATATCGGTTTTAGTCGAAGTTTAAACAATTTTTTTCCTTTTTCACAATTCCTGCTATTAGTTCACACTTTCCCTATATTTATTTATATACATATATATCTTGTTCAAACTTTCAATCGTTAATAAAATACTTTTTATTCATCCACTCAAGTTCAAATACATTTTTTTAAACATGTAGTGGATGACACTTGATGCTAATACAGTTTTTTCAAATAATAATTCATTAATTTAATTTAATAAATAGTAACAAACAAAAATAATAGTCCAGCACCATATATAAAAACGAAAATCGCTCGCTGTGTTCATGTAGAGCAATGGATAGCACGTTGGACTTCTAATTCAAAAGTAGTGGATTCGAATCCTACCTGGTATGGCCTAATTTCTGAGCATGTGATGTATGAATAAATAAATAGTAACAAACAAAAATAATAGTCCAACATCAAATGAAAAATTGCTTTCTATTTTCCCACTTACTATTGTGATTCTGTCATATATATATATATATATTAATTGTAATTATTTAATAAAAAGTAAATCTGAAATAAAATTTTTCTTTGTTGACCTAAGAAGGAATTGACTTAATTTTTTTATATATTACTCGTTTTAATGAGAAGAACGATACCATTTTGTTAATGTTTCCAATTTTTTAAAAATCGAATTAACAACACTTTTTAAACAATATTTTATTTTCTCTGGGATTTTAATCCTACAAAATTCAGCAGTAGTTTTCCACACACACACACACAATTAAACATATTTTTGTTAAGTTACATCTATACTGAACTAACAATTTTAACACATTTTACTAGATATTTTCTCTGATTTCACAAATTACTTTCCATTATATTTAAAAACTGCGGTTCGATTTTACGCATAATTCATTTATCCTATAATTATCGAAAAAGTCAATTAAATATTTACGATACAGACCCACAGAGCGGTTCAAAACAAGTTAATGCGCTTAATTCAAGAAAATTTCAAGACAGAATACTATTATACTTTCAGGGGTATATTGTAATATAAGGTCTTCAACATGTGGCCCGCAGGCCACAGGTGAATGCATTTTAGTGGCCCTTCACTTGATTCTAAGGCAATTTCGGGAAAAATTGCCTTGTCTGCTTTTTTTCGTAAGAAAGGTAATTTTTTTTCTGTTATTCTCGATATTAATTTTTTTTTTTAAGCATGATATCCATTTGAGATTACATGTTCTTTAAAGGGGTACATTTTTCAAAAATTTCATTGCATCTTAAATAATTTTAAATATAAAAAATTTGACTACGCATAAAATCTCAGAAGTTTTCAAAAGAAAAGTTCGATTTTTATCTTTAATACGCAAAGTATTTTATTTCGACTTCCATTTAACATTTTTGAAACCCATATACATACGAATCTGTAATACCATCTCTACCCTTAAAATTATACAGTTGTAGTCTTGAAAACAAACCCCTCCCTTTCTTATTTATATTTCATGACTACATTATTTTTTTGACAGTCGTGTGTCCCGTGGATCAATGTTACTTTATTGATGCGGCCAGCGGATCATTGTGGATTTATTAATATGGTCCTCGCGAGTGTTAAAGATAGAAGACCCCTACTGTAATATAATACTATATGTTCTGAAAGTATTTAAGTATAAAATCTTTTAGATACCTTTCAAAAAAGTGTTGCTGACGCCATTGAATTCTTGGTAGGTAATAAATATCCTAATCTAAATCATCAATAGCTTAATTGGGGAACAGCAGTCTTAGGTTGCAGTATCATAAAATGAGCCAATCCTCAATTACAGTAAAGGATCTGTTTGAAAATTAATAACTTAATCTAACCTCCTCCCCCCCTCCTGGTGTCATAGTATACCCCGCCTGTTCTTTATGTCTGTTCCTATTTAACATACTAAGAATGATGAAGATGGGAATACATATTCCACTAAATTATATATCAGTCTATTATTCCATGGGGGACCATTTTTAGCAACCTATACCAAAAAAAAACTTCTCTAATTTTCTTTTTACCATCCAAACTCAATAACTGACATATGCAAATATTCATTTGATTTGACCAGTGATCTTCACCCCATTTTCCCCCTCTATTTTTCAAAATATTTATTTCTTAACTCCTCTAAGACAAAATGTTGACTGTATACTATACATCAGCGGTTCTTAAACTTTCGATCGCTGCGGTCCCTCTTTATAAATGACATCGCGGACCCCTAAGATTTTGAAAATCCCACCCCGATTTAATATTCTTGATCAAAATACAAGTTCTATTAGAGTTTTTTCATTGGGGACAATTTAGTGATCAAGTCTAGTATGGCATATCTTTCAATTTTTCCACGAGGCCTTTCAGAGGCTGTTAAACAGGGAAAATTTAACATTAAAAGAGATTTCGTGGACCCCTAAGGGTTCGCGGACCACAGCTTACGCTGCTATACATAATGAAAAGCTTAAAGAAAGTTTTATTCCAGTGATACCTTATTAATAAACTAACTACCGATCCATGATCATAATATCTAAAGAGTAAATTATGCTCACGCCTGAAGTTCTAACAAGAGCCATTGTTTATAAAACTTCAATTAGATAATATATATTATTATTTCTGACAAAAAGTATTTTAGATAGAATTTTCATTTTTGATTTTTCATATTTTCAATATGCAACATGTAAATACCAATTAAGTGATTGATGTCAATATTCCTGCTTGAGGTATTCAATACATTCATTAAACCAAAGTAAAGTGCTTCACACTGCAATATCAATTTTTGCAATTAATTATCTTTTTGATAAATAATGAATTATTTTGCCTCTTTCAACAGGAGTTGATTGGTCTTTATTCTTTTAGATATCAGAGTTCAGAAGAAAACTTAATATAGTTTTTATGATTTAAATTATAAGTGAAAATAAAGAGAAAAGAATATCTTTGTATAAACGCTGTAAGTAAGATAGTTCTCCAGACTTATACATAAAAGGGGAACAAATAAAGTAAAGTAACTTTAGAAAAGTTCAATTTTGTCCAAGACCCAATGAAATTTTGGGTAAAGAGCATTTTAAATTCTATAGTATTAACAAATATTTTAATCATTAAAAATGATTACTTTATTAGGAAGTAAATACACAGATAAAAATAAGAGAAATTTTTAACATTTGAAATACAGCATTCCTGAATATTATCAAAAATGAACTGACAATATTTAATAAAATTTTAACATATATATATATATAAAATAGAATAATATATGCTGGATTCCAATCAAACAAAATTATAAATTATTTTCCAATATTATTTCTTCATTTAAATAGGTATTTATAACAATAAATCATTTTTTTTGTTCTGATATCTATAAAGTAAAACTTACTTCTTAAGTTTTCCTTAAGATTACAGGATCGCTAAGATTCATTGAAAAATAAATAAAATACACGGTGCTTACATAATTATTCAACCCCATACCATTTGCATATTTCGACAAATTTTAACAATTGTTTTTATGACAGTATCAAATAGGTTGTCATAAATTTTTGTGAGCAATTGGTAACAATGGGGTTAATACACAAGTATCAAATACGCTAATTTCATTAAAATAAAAATGTTTGGTATTAATGCTAATCATTTCTTTTGAAACAGAATGATAAGTTTTATAAAATAAATATAAAGCTTATCTTACCTAGAATCTAATATTATTGTAAAGGAAGTATGAAAGATTATTATCAAAATAGGCTCTTAAATGGAAACATTTAATAAAAAAAATATTGAAAAACCATTACCAATTAATTGATTAAAATATAAAGTTTTATTTCACATTTCTATCTGCTAATTTATCATAATTATAAACACAGGTACATTTTACCTAAGTTATAGATTTGTCTTCATAATGAAAAAACTAAGATTTATTGAAAAAAATACATTATTTAAGAATTCTAATAAATTTCTTAATTAAATGAAAACAATCACACTTTTAAAATCATACTTTACACAGTAAAGTAAAACAAAATAGTTTTTTTAATCCAAATATCAGAGTGTAAAAAAATAATAAGTTATCACAAAATATATCTTATTAAATAGATCAAATCTTTTACAAAAAAAATCACAACAAGCTTGATAGAAAATGCTAGATATAATTCAATCAAGCATTTAAATAATATAAATTACACCAATAACTTATAATAGAAATTTTAAAATAATTATATTCATATGTTTGTAGTTTTTTTAAACAAGCCATATTCCCTATATTCTTGAATATTTTTTTCAGCATCATAATTTAAAATAATCTAAAACTTAATAAGATTACATAATTTTTGCTTAACAGAAGAACCTTTTGTAAAGTAAAGTATAGCTTGATAAAAATCTTAAATGAACTAAATTTTTAATAAGAAGAAAATTTTAAAACTAGAATAACAATGAAGCAAAATAAGGTTAATATTACCACATTAAACATTCAATTATCAATTTATACAAATAATTTACAAGAATTTTTTTTTATTTATTGTAATCTATTTTCTTCAAACAAGTACATTAAGGCAATTTGTTTCATATACTTTTTATACATTTTTTAATCATTTTAATTACTTCAATCTTAAAATGTGCAATTGCTTTACTTCTGAAGCTAATATTTCTTTTCAATACTTATTTTGTTAAATAACAGAATCCTTTTAATCCTTAATCTACTTTCATGTGTTTAGCATTTCTACATGTTTTCTAAGACTATATAACTAAAACAAATCAAATCCTGACTTTATGAATTTTTTTTTTAAAACTCACTTTAATATTTATTTTTACAAGACTAATATATGTAACAGCATCTTAACAGGAAACTTACCCAAGAAAATGTATTAAAGACAAAATCCTATATATAAAATGATAAAAATATCATTTCATAAGAATACACTAACAAAAGAATTAAGAACTTTATTTTATTTGATTATGATTGGAAATAGATTTTGACACTGGGGAAACCTAGAATAATATTTCAGATTTAATTTTTATTTTTAAACCAAGATTCTAAAAACAATTAAATGCATGCCATACATTTAGTTTTAATGGGGAAGAATAAAACTTTAATTTTTTAGTTAATTAACATTTAATTTAAAAACATCAATAAACTGGATGCAAAAATAGAAAAAAAAAAAAAAAAAGGATCAAATTTTCAACGATTGCAAAATTTAAACTAATATATAAATAAAATATTTTCACAAAAAATTATTTAAATTTCCTTTTGACTCTAGAAAATATACCTCTTCCTACATCTTTTGTTTACACCATTATGATTAATGATTCTGTGCAATTCTTCAACTCCTTATTAGGAGGATATATTTTTCAAATTTTAAAGGAAGCAATTTCCAAAAATAAAATTTCTTTTAATAATGATTATTTGTATTGTTCTAG